CGACTCACGTAGTCAGATTTCACGCTACTGGATGCAACCGACGTACATGCTGCGCACTGTCTCATTTTGGAGGAAATTTACTTCCGGCAGCCGTATCAGCGCCAGTCGTAGCGATTTGCTTTAAGTCCCTTTTGATGGGGTGGGGACAGAGGGACTAGTGTATCACAACAGAGAGTTATTTCTACGCATTTGTTGACTTCTTTCTCCGAATCTCTACGTAGTTGTTGTAATTGTGTTAAGATTGTTGTTCTACAATTGCATCTAGGGACGTTCGCGCTGATTGTTTCTGCGCATCCTTACTGCGCACGCCAATTCACACGCACGTCATGCATGAGAGCGCGCGCTAAGTAATAAAATGAAAAATGATAGGGCAGATCGCCGTTGCTATAGATTTGCCTCGATTTAACGATCTTGGACGCTCGGTGACCCCTATTTTTCTTTTGATGGATCATTTTCTCTACCAATTTTCTCAGTACGTTTAGCGAAAAAATGAAGAAAATCTATCGACTAGAAGTTTGAATTTTTTGCAAAATGCACCATCGAATTCCGTTCTTTTAAGCTCTTCGTTTATCTCTGCGACGGTTTCAAATGCCTCTTGAAGGGTTAAGTTTTGTTAAAACGTTGGTAGCATTTGGAATTATTTACGCAACAGACTCACGTCTACAAAATATAACTAAGATCGTTTGCCTCCGTTGACTCACCTTTGATATTTTTAACTATAAATCCCTGTAGACCATGCTGAATTACTTACGCCAATTTTTCAAAACCAGGGTAGTTTTCCACACCCTTTATCTCTGATACGAAGTCGGTGACCCCCAATTTTTTTTGCATTTCTGACACAAGTAATTCATTATCTGACTGCAGTAAAAATTTTAAAAAAATCTATCGACTGGAAAATTTTCGCGCGAACGTCCTGAAAGGCAAAAAACATAAAACGCCTGATTTAGAAATAGCCTGAATTTCAGCCGTTTTCTCTGCGTCACCCACCAGAGTGACTTATTAGGGAGCAGATTTACAAATGGATAAAAGAAGGTGAAAACATAACTAAGCACGAGAGTGCTGGTCTTCACCTCCGTGGTAGTGGGCTCGAAAAGCCAGTCCTACATTTTTTTGTAACTGATTGTCATTTTGCTATTTAAGCCCAGTTCATGTGGTGTACCTCAAGGATCCACTTTACGGTCAGTGCTATTTAAGTTATACATGAATGACTTTCACAAGTCCTCAAACAAGAAACAGGTTAATTTTAAGAATCTTAGCACATGATACAAATAGTTTATATTCTTCAAAAGATTCAGACCAACGGGAGAGGTATCGGCAAAAAAGGAACTAATTATATAACAATAAATTCACCTAAACAGGAAGTAACTATCACAACAACAATAACAACATTTATAGAGAGCTAATTCCCAATAGTCCAAAAGCGCGTTACAGAAATTACATTAAAAAACAGGGATAAACTAACAGTAAAAAACTAGATCAAAGGCTATAAAACTACATCATAAGAAACTTTATAAAGCAAAGTTTTCAACTTGGATTTAAACCAAGAAAAGGAACAACAAGATTTAAGTGCCGAGAGGCCAACGAGTGGGTATTCCAAAGAAAAGGAGCGGAAATCGTAAAGGACCGGCCACCATAGGTCTTAAGGTTAAATCTAGGTGTAAAAAGCAGCAATTTGTTTAAGATCGTAAGGTTCTACCAGG